CGTTCTATCGAGTGGGAGACGGACCCACATCCTTTCGGCTGCGATCACGGGCTAGTCACATGTAAGCGGCGTTTGCCGCGTGTCAGAGCCTTAGCTTTGAGCTCTGGTATGAAGTGATGTCGAGCCCACTCTGTCAGTTTAGTCCAGCAAACAGTAGCTCATCTGACTTTCTACTCTTATTGTTGGTATAGCAGAACTGCCCGGTAAGCACGGGGCAACAAAGACGAAAGTTGAACTTAAGCTAACCTCAAACTATGCAAAGGGGGCAACACGTAAGAGTGAAAAGTTTGATCATTACTCAAGAAACATTGCCATCCCAATCACCTAGCACATATTCGCAACATAACTCTGCAGAGCAGGATGAGTTGTTACAATTTCTTTTTACACAGAGAAGATTGTAAATGGAGACACGGCCAACGTCTGCTCCTTATTTAACATGAGGATCGTTTATGTCAATTCTAGGGTAGGCTTGTGCATTGAGTACTGAAAACAGATTTGTCATAGTGGGTGATTAAAGATTAAGTGTCTAACTCTACTTCTGGGTCCGAAGAGTGTCGAGACGCACCACCCCTTCCCAGAACGTTTTTAACCGCAGAGCCTGTTGTGGCCGACTTTGACACACTGTACCTCCATTTACATCGGTTCACTCTGCTCAGGAAATTCAACCATCAGGCCACGGTCACAGCGACTACTCAAACATAAACATAAATTGGCCTTTTCTTGCATTTCTCGATGGGCACCTTTCAATTCTGAACACATTACTATACACGGTAGCGCTCTAATTGGCGTCGGCAAGATGCATACGATACTGCGTTGTAATTTCTTGGCTCCGACCTCCATCAGGCAACATGTCCTCACTACTACCCCAGACGCTAAGGATATTTTGGCATTGATCTGAGTCCGGTGGTTATTCAAAGGTGTCCTTTTCTACATGAGACTGAAAAACTGAGGGACAACAAGCTATTTGCATTGCCATTGCACCTACTTTAAAACGACAGTCCGTTGCGGCCTGTGGAGAAGGGTGACGGTTTGGTCCTAGCCCGCGAGAACGGGCTCTATAGTGCCGATGAAGGGGAATATCTTTACGGTGGAGGGTTGCTCGTCTAAGGAAAGCTAAGCGGGAAGGTTGGAGACTTGTATTCAACTTCTGGCAGTGAATGCGATGCTTTATGTCACTTCTTCTTACTGCCTATAGACCTTCTTGAGTTTGGAATGTTTGTTCATGCATATACAGCGTGTGTATTGTTTCACCGCATGTTTTTCAGTTGGCTGTCTCAAAAATGCGCTCAGAATACTATCAGAACTGTTCTGAATACCGACAAGCCCTTCTTGCGGCGACAGGGGCAGTTGCCGAGGCTCGACCGGTGGGGAACTTGCAGCCTTCGCAGGATGCCGCGGCTGAATACATTTCACGCGTGGGGAGCTTGGCCCGTGACGGAAAGCGAGAGCGCGGAGCCTCGCGGACCAAGAAGATCCCAACAAAAACTTAATCATTTATCGAGGGAGATTAGAGAAGTACCCACTGCTGTCACATCTACCTATAGTTTCTGCACTTCCGAATCACTCTGACAATAAAGGGTTTTCGAGCTCTGACATTCGATTTTTTCGGGTGGATGGAGCCATGGCTGCCTTTCAGAAAGTGATTTTCCTGTTGACTATATATTGATCAAGGTCTAAGGAAGTTACGTAGAAAATTAGCACTGGCAGATGCCTACCTCGTTGTGCCGTGCGAAAAATAACAAGTCTTCCCTTGATTAAATATGTTTATGATCTACCACACAATCACCAAACGCGGAAACCCAATCGATCCAATGATTATCGGCAGAACCTCTTCGGTGACACCTAATTTTAGCGTCAAGTGAGACTAGCGAGACTCGAGCATATGACGAATCTTGAGTCCGGCTGCCCTATGGTGTTATCAAGCTCTGGGTATCGCTCTAGACAGCAGCTTTATCTTGATAGCCTATCATCTCTGCGAGGTAAACTGATGGTTGCCAAGTTTCTTTAAGCTAAAAAGTTATTCTAGCAAAATATCCTACATTTAAGGGATATAAAAAGTAGTTTTGAACAGGATATTTGAATAACCAATTCAGTATGCTGAAGGGGTGTTACTGATCCTAAACAAGTCTGCTCCGCGCATGTATTCTATTTTCGAGGAGATTCACAAGGACACGCAAAGAAAGCTGCTTCCGAAAGCATCCTGAATACACTGATTTGTCGTTCAGTTCAGGGTGTGGACTGACTTCCCATCAACTTTTACACGCAGGTGTAGGCATGCAAATAAAAAACTAGTCCCTGGAAAACTAATGTCAACATTTATAACCTACAGAACGGACAACTAGAGACAAATTCGGGGAACTGGGCTTTCGGTTATTCATCCTCATGCCTGTCAAGCAGGTGAAGGTTACTCATCACCAAAGCCGACAAAGTATCCGCCCTCGCTATCATGAACAAGTGTTTTCGTTCTGTCTGAAAATTGAATCAATCCTGGCTAATGAGATTAAATTTCGTAGTGAGAAACAAAAAAGGACCAAATTGAGATCATAGAAGTCTAACTCACTAAATGTCTTCGGAAGACCCAAACTTCTTAGTGAAAGAGAGTCCGGATCTTTCAAGCCAATTGGCATAATCTTCCCCCAAGGCAGTACGGTTTACCAAAAATTCCCAAACCCGACCTTCCCACGCGGCCGATTTTAGACGTGCAAATCGCAGTGGCTGGTAGGTGTACTTAGGCCGATTCGACGCAAAATGCACCACCTAGGCTACGGGACACTTCTGAATTCATCGACTCCCTAAGAAATACGAACCTGCGTGGGAAAACAACGTTATCCTTGGATGTTTCGTCTTTGTTCACCTATATTCTCCTGGCGAAGACGATAAAATATGTGACGAAATTGTTAAGCAGGATTTCCCGAATGGCATGCCGGTCATAGACCTGAAGGAGCTACTCTTTCGCTGCATGTGGGCGTTCAATTCAGATTCGATTGCCAATTTTATCATTGGATCGACGGCGTAGCAATAGGGTCACCACCTGAGTCCATGCTATAGGAAAACTAGAGAACAATTAACTCCATTCTTTAATGAAGGACCTTGATTCTTATGCTCGACATGTTAATGACATTTTCGTGATAGCGGATAAGCTTGTTTTTAACGCACTCTTGGATAAAATGAACCAGACTCACACAGCATTAAACTCTACTCTGGAAAGAGAAGAGTATCTCTCCTGTCTGGACGTCCTGCTCAGTAGAACATCTGGTGGGACAATTCGCGGTGTACTTCGCAAGAAAACATGAGCAGGACAATACACGAATTCTCACAATCCTGTCTCTCCGAGTCAGAAACGAAGCTTAGTTCGCTGCATTGTCTTCGAACTAAGAAAATATGTTCTCCTGATATGCTGGAGAACAAACACGCCCCTATGCAAAACACTCGGCGAGAAAGCGGTTTCCATGGTAAGTTTATCACAAGACATACGGAAGAACATCTGCCAGAAACGGAGGTGCCGGCGGCTGAAAAGTAGGAACCCTTCCTAATGTTGCCATTTCGAGGAGGTCCGGCCAGCGAACTCCTACAATCTCGCATAAACCTTGCTAGCCTGCGCATGCATTTAGTCGCCAAGATAAAACTAATCTTCTCAGGCACTCCGCTTCTTCGTCTTAAAGACAAGGATAGACTGCTCATTCAGACTTGCTCAATCTGTACATGACAGTCTGACCGTCGATTTCGACAATGTCCACTGTGTGCTCCACAGAAGTGTGAGAACGGGGAGGGCGACTTGCGCGTGAGAGCAGACCTGCGAGAGCATGCACCGCACTCCTCCTCCACCTGGGTCAGGTGTGAAGACATACTCAAGAAGACCGGCGGAGAGGCCGCAAGTTGCTAGGACAGGGAAAACCAGCGCTTAGGCGTGCCACCACGCCCGTCAACCTGAATATACTCTTGCACTGCTCCTGTGGGGCAGGTTATACCGGCTGAACGGCAAGGCGCCTGTCCAGGCGGTGCCGAGAACTCATCCTACCTGGCTAAATCAAGTCTCACTTGGTTGAGAGCGGCCACCGGATAGACGTCAATCGAGCATTTCGATTCATCTATAAAGTGCATGCGGGGTACTCCAATATCCTGTGACAGCGATAATGTGCGACGGCAGCGGTCATACGGCTAACCAACCCAACCTACTGTTTGGAGAAGGCATTTGTACAAGCCCCTAAGCTCCTCTGAATAACAGTGAGCCCTACGTGTTGGTTTCGGCACCCCACTACGTCGCGCTACAGCGACCAAACATAAGTACAACCTCCTGCCAGGTCCCTTTATATCCTTGGCAGGACAAGACTATAGTTACGCCTGATGTCTGAACGCCCTCAATCCTCTCTCACGCATGACTATTATTCAATGACTGCTTCTTCAGCTTTGGCTGCATTATCATTATCGCAGTACAGAAAATGACTGCCCAACGTCACGCAACTAATGTACCGAGGTAGAGGCTAAAGCAGTCTCGTTCCCATTGTCAAAAATGTTCTGCAATAGACACTTGACGAGCATCAGGAATGAGAAACTTGGAGATATTCCCCAGGCGGAAAGTCCAAAAACCTTACATCGTTACTAAGGTAAAGGGCGTATTCTGTTGGAGTAAGGTTGGTCAAGCAATGCCAAAAAATTAATCTAACGAGGGCTGGCAACCAGCGATTGACCGATACTGAGGACGGACGGATGGGTGTCGACTGAGATGAGAACCTCTTTTTAACGTCACTTAATGAGCTCTAGGAACTCGGAAGTTCGACGATAGAAAATGAGGGTAGAGTCATTTCCAATAAATTTTCATTTAACCGTTTAGGCTGATAGATGCTGATCAGCGTATCCAAAAAATTAGGTACAGCGCGTGTAAGCGCCCAGATAAAACACGAATAACCGCACTTGGGCAAAGGTAAGATTTCAAATAATTTTTACAAACGAATCGAATATCCAATCCGTATCCAGCGGCACATGGGTCACGTTACAGCAGTTTAGGCTGGGAGACTGAGACTTCTGCCCTTTAGGACTAAGACGTATGTTAGAAAAAAGCAAATATTTTACCTCGAGTAATATAAAGGTAGAAGAAGTCTAGATAAAGCAAGGTCTGGATGATTCCTGCGACCACAGAGATCGGATCGAAAAATGATTCAACAAAGAAGCGGTAGATCCAGTTAAGAATGTATAGTGCTCTGTATGAACCAAGAGCGAATAAGTAGTGGGAAGTTATTGTTTCAGCTTCGCCAGTTTTCGATATAAGGAAAAGTTGCGGCAAAATGGCTACAGACTCCAAGTATATTGAGAAGGTCCAAAGAATCTAAAAATAAAGCAGACGGTCGCCAAAAATTACCTCTATGAAGCTAAACTCCTGATTAACAATAAGAGCCAATACAGCGCAGGCTACGACTAAAAATTCAACGCGGAACGTATCGTGATTGCTGTCATAAGTCGCCTTGAACTTGACATAGATCAAGTAGAGTGTGGCGAAAGAGGAGATTATAAACACAATTTTCGCCAAACTGTTATAAACAGAGACGAAAGTCGTAAATAAGTCCAAATAGCGGGTGCAAAAAACGACAGCGAAGGCAATTTGGGATTTTCCGGAGAGACCTGCCGAAATTGTACATAGGACAGAAATTACCCGAACAAGACCTTGTTTTCCATATTTTCAAAAGTAAGATAATTATAGCAACAAAGTGGCAAAAATCACCCAACAACCTAAAGATGTTCATTGCAGGGTTGACGTGTCGCGGGCAAATATACCGAAGACAGGAATCGAATAAACGCCAATCCAATGACGCAGCATAATAAGGATTGACGATAATAGACGATCAGTCACAGGGTTTTCAGGGTCATGGTATACTGCGAACCCAAAATAACATCATTAGCTATTCCGCGGGGATCAACATACAATCAACGGTTTGCAATAAGGCACTTGAAACCTGAGAGCCTGACAATAAACACTTAAGTATTTTATTAGCCTTTTTTCCATCGATGCACCCACGTGCGCAAGGTGAGCCTACGGCGGTTTCTTCTTTTCATATTTTATCGTGCGACCCAACTTGTATGCGCCCGAATATGAATAGCCTAGGAATACAACGCAGAACCAGTTTCCTTCTGCGTCATCGCGGGTTCTGATTTTTCTGTCCATGTTGCTAGTTTGCAAATCCCTTTGATATGCCTGAGAACTTTGGGACGAGCTCCAAGTCTGTTTAAGTTTGCTTTTTTATCAGTCATATTTTTCCGGACGCTGATTCGTCCGCGCACAACATTCTCGAGGGGATGGGCCTGGAGCTGCCTTGGACTATACGGAAGACTCTTGTCTTCTGATTTGAGTTAAAGCAAAGAAGGATCCCACTTTCAGTGATGTAAAAAACTCTTGCTGCCGCATTTGTTCCACCCTGTTCTTCTCCCTCCTCGCGGTTTAGATTTAGTTACGCCTGCATGGAGCTAACTAATTCTGCTTGGTGCATTAACATTTCTTTCTTTGGGATTTCACAACAACTTTTCCATAAACGACCGCCGTTTTGAAATAGGCAGAAAAAACGGGTCTGCAGAGAGAAGCTACTGTCTAAACTAGTTCAGGTTATCTGTTAGACGGTGAGGTGTTTGCTTAAGCATTTTCATTTGTTTTGAATTTTCCGGTACTGAGCAAATGTGTAAAATGCATCTGCTCTTCTTGTATTTTGTTTGATTCTAAGTTTCGTTTACCGAGTCATTTCCAATGAGTTCTGCAGCGAGGGGGAGAACAATTTAGTAATATACAACAACCAAGTACGGCGGCGTCCGTCACTCTTCCTTTGGACAGGTCCTGTCCGAATGACCGCGCAGCCGACATATTAAGTGAAGGCGCTAACCCAAATGTAACCACATCTTCCGTCAGCCGGAAATTGAAATTCTTGTACACCAACGTGCAGAGTTTGCTATCAAAGTTAGGCGATCTGAAGATCCACCTCTGCGACCTATCCCCTGACGTAATCTCTCTAACAGAAACCTGGTTGACCCAATACGTGGACGACCGTGAGCTGGCCTTGCCTGGCTACCAGATGTTTAGAAGGGATAGGGAAGGGCGTCAGGGAGGAGGCGTACTCACGTATGTAAAAAATGGGCTAAATGTATCAGACAAGACCGATAACTTTTCGTGCAGTTCCGAGGCAATCTGGTTGTCTATTAAAGTGCCGAGCTCGCCTAGCCTCGATGTCCTGACAGTTTATCGACCGCCGAGACGGGACAATATGGCCTACACTCGCCTGCTGGAGGAGCTCGAAAAGTTCGCTACGCGGCCGGATATCCTAATCATGGGCGACTTTAACGCGCCCCATATTGACTGGAGCTCAACCCATGCAAATGGCTCAAAACAGACCTTCGATAGGAGTTTTCTGAACACGGCATTGAAGCTATTTCTCACTCAACACATCATGTTACCAACTAGAGTACGCGAAGGCCAACAAGCCAACTGCCTTGATCTTCTCCTTACGAAGTTACAGGACAGCATTGATGAGGTGTCATGCCTACCCCCCTTAGGTAAAAGTGACCACGTCGTTCTTCTATGGGATTACTCGCTTTTTTCCATGCCCAGGAAACCCGGGACAGTTAGAAGAAACCTTTGGCGCGGGGATTTCGACCAAATGAGGGCTGAAATTTTACGCATTGAGTGGGAGTCCATATTTGTTGGGAGCATACTCGAAGACTGGCAACGGTTCCGAGAAATTCTGCACGAGCTGATCGTAAATCACTGTCCGCTTTCACGGAAGAGGTTAACTAACAGACCCCGATGGCTTACGCAAGCCTTGAAGAATGAAGTGAATAAAAAACGACGACTGTGGAAAAAATCGCTTTCTGACAGGAGCCCCACATCTATATGCGCGTACAAAATTAAAAGAAATCGAGTCAAGGGTCTTATCCTCAAAACTAGAAAGGAATTCGAACGAGATCTGCTTAACCGTGCCGCGGAGAAGCCTAAATTATTCTACGGTTACATTAGGCAGTGCACGCGGAACAAGGACCCAATACCCCTGACAAGGACTGCTGAAGGCGAACATCTCACTGACGACAGGGCGAAAGCTGATCACCTTTCGGAATTTTTTCGGTCTGTTTTTAGTAGCGAAACAGGATTCAACCCTCGGCCCCTCAATCCTTCGAAGACACCCCAATTATAGAGACCGTCCAGTTCACTGAGGGTATGGTTCTGACGGAGTTGCTGAGGCTAAAGGAATCCAAATCACCAGGTCCCGATGAGATTCCGGCGAAGATTTTAAAGGAACTCGCCGGTGAGTTGTCTAAGCCACTCTCCATGCTTTTCCATACATACTTCGAGACCGGATATCTGCCACCCGACTGGAAGTCGGCGTGGATTACGCCGCTGTACAAGGGCGGAAGTCGGGTCTCTGCGAACAATTACAGACCGGTCAGCCTCACCTCCATTTGCTGTAAGATTATGGAGAAGATAATAAAGCAACAACTAATGCAGTTCCTTGAACAAAACCATTTGCTTTCCGATTCTCAGCATGGATTCCGAAAAGGCAGATCCTGTGTGACAAACCTGCTCTACTGTCTGGAACACTGGACTAGGGCTGTTGATAGAGGAGATATGGTGCATGCCATCTATATCGACTTTAAAAAGGCCTTCGATAGTGTGCCTCACCACCGCCTTCTATACAAACTTAGCCGTGCAGGAGTGCGGGGTAGGCTTCTGATGTGGATTCGGAGCTTATTAATCGGCCGCTCTCAAGCCGTCCACGTCGGTGACCAACAATCTGCCGAGGCTGCCGTTAAGAGTGGTGTTCCCCAAGGCTCTGTTCTTGGCCCTTCACTGTTCCTCGTATACGTCAACAACTGCGCAAACGAACCGGATTGCAATTTCGCAATGTTTGCCGATGACATAAAGATCTGGAGTACCATACGAAGCGAAGTTGACGAGGCGCGACTGCAGACAAGTCTGGACCACCTCGAGCAATGGTCGAAAGACTGGCTTCTACCGTTCAACGTAAACAAGTGTACTTTCCTACGCGTCGGCAGAACCAGTTCTCCTAACCACACGGTCTACCGCCTGACTGGCAAACCACTGCAAGAAGTCGACGCCCAGAAGGACTTGGGTGTTTGGATCACAACCTCGCCTAAGCCTTCGCTGCAATGTTCAAAGGTGGCCAAGTCGGCGATGTCCATGCTATACCTTGTCAAACGGGCGTTCTCCTCCTTTGATGAAGGCTGCTTCGCCAAGGTCTTTCAAACTTTTGTGCGACCGCATCTGTAGTTTGCTATCCAAGCATGGCGACCCTGGACCGCTAAAGACTTGGGCATACTCGAAAAAGTTCAACGGCGAGCAACGAAACTTGTATCTGGGCAGTGGTCACTACCCTACGAAACGCGATTAGCTAATCCTGACCTCTTTCCTTTGAGTTACAGACAGCTACGTGGAGACCTGATACAAGCTTTCCGCATCGTGCGCAATCAGGGCTGCTGCCTCGCGTTTGGAGACTTCTACGAGTTGGCGACGACGACTAACCTGAGAGGCCATCCACTCAAACTGCGTGTGGCTGGTGTCCGGCTAGACACCCGAAAGTTCTTCTTCTCCAACAGAGTGGTTGCAGCTTGGAATGCCTTGCCTGAGGATGTTGTTATGTCAGGCTCGGTAGATACTTTTAAATGAAGACTAGATCAGCATTGTAGCGCGCATCACAATAACGACGGACTACGGCCACCTTGACAGCCAACGCTGACAATTTAGTGTTATAACGATGCTACTACCAACATTTAAGTGATATATTTTATGTTATTTATTAAGCTTGGGCCACGTCGCACACCGCTGTTCGCATTCACCACGATGCCTGTAGACTAAACAATTTTACTTCTTTTCCCGTGTCTTAAGTGTGCCTCAACTGTCCGCTGTATGTTGATCAACAAAGCAAGTTAATGTGCCTCTAAACTCTGTTAACGCATGACATTCTGTGTTCATCTGTACAGTTTTTGCTATTCCCCTCGCATTTCTTTCATGTTACTTCCTTTCCATTTCCTCCATATATATCCTCTGCATGTAACCAATAGGGATTTCAAAGGTACACACCTACTTTCCCTGAAATATACTGATACTGATACTCTATTAACCAGGCCATTTTGGCATTCATAGGGGAGTAGGCAGAGTTGTGGAGAACCATATTTACATTGTAACTTTTGGGAGACAGGGACATTTTTAAATATCAGCACGAATACTCTATCCCTGGAATCAAGCTACTCAGAATATACGGTGATGATAAAAGGCCATCAAGTCCTTTCTTGGAGGTCTGAAATTTTTCTATCAGATCGGCCGAAACGGGCCGCTTACTCTTGACGTCATCAACCATGTAAAAGAATAAGCCAGTCCATACTTCAAGGGCGACGCATTTCGTATTCGGCTTGTATTGTCGACCGCAAATATTTATTGTTTTTTTCATTCAGGGGGTAAGCTAACTTGTACATTCAGTAAATTCATTTAACGTTTCCGCAGCCAATCATTAGGGAAATTGCTTCCACGAAGTTTTCGAAACATTTGTGTGACCACAGCTTTAAAATGCCGCCCTGGCCTGCAGACTATAGGTAGAGCTGGAGTTCAATGTAACCGGAGGGGTTGAGAGATCAGCTACCAAACTGATCCAAAGTAAACTAATAATTTAATGCAAGACCTAATTAAATGACCCCATTACTTACAGCAGACTGCGCTAGGACTTTATACAAACCTTTGACATAGTCTGCGGTAGGGACAGGTCCCTCTTGTGTTGTGCTTGCTTAAGACTTACAACTGCACTAAATCTCAGTGGGCATCCTTTCACAGTGCGTATGTTTTAGATTATTTCAGACTACTTGTTAAGGATAACAGGCTAAAAGTTGAAAACTCCATTGATTACATGCCAGTTCGTTGGACATAGCTTTTACACGAACAAGGGAAATTGTCGAAATACAGAACGGTACTTGTATGATTTAAGTAACATTGACTTAAAAAAGATTTCAGGAGACCACGGAATATTCAGCTGATGTTCAAACGGTCAAGGAGAAAGAGTGGTTACAAATGATCATCCAAATGTTTCTTGAAGAGCTGCCGGGATCCCGCACCCACGACTGATTGAGAGAGGTTTTTCGAATTCTCCACTACCCTCTGTGTAAACCATTTAGAGTGAAGGTTCAACCTAGCCATTTTTGAACGTAGCTCCATTGAGTGACCCCGAAAACTAGGCGAAAGGTGCCACCGTGACATGTCCTCAAAACTTATTCTATGGTTAAGGTCATGTGTTATCTTGCAAACCAGGACAAGGTCACCTCCTTGCTGCCTGTAACACAGAGGGAATAAATTAAGGCAGTTCAGTCTTCCTATGCAAGACTGATTTGTAACACCCTTTACCAGCTTTGTTGCACGAGGTGGTACTTTTCGAGGCATGTTTGATCCTTTGCGAGCTATGGTCCTCACGCTTATAAGCCTTATTCTAGGTGAGGATGAACAAAGGTCCCGTAGAATCTCCCAAAACGGCCTTTGACAAAGTTTACAAACGCCTTTTTGATCGCATAGATTACTCCTATGACGTTTTTTGCCGCCTTAGCGCACTGCAGTGTTAGTTTCATATAGCTTTGTATCCAAACCCCGAGATCCTACTGAGAAGACTCTGCGGGAAGAGTAATACCCTTTGGGTAACGTGCGCTCGTGCTCGTTGAATGACAGTTAGTTAGTTAGTTGGACGCAGATGAAGGACGGCGCGCTTCTGCACGTTGAAATCCAGAAGCCATTTCTCGGACCACGTTTGCAGTCAGTACAGATTATTTTGAAGAGGGTTCCGGTTATTCGGGCCTAAATGACTTACTAGAGCTTAACGTTGTCGGCAAACATCGATCTCGAAGCCCTCTGTTAAAGCCCTTGTCCAGATCTCCAGACAAGTTAACAGATTTGAGAGACAGAAATGCCCTCTCCGGTAACCGTGCTGAAAATTCTGTAAGATGATGTCTTCTCCCCACAATTGCTGTATGGCCCTGTTTATTAAATCTTTCATCGTTTTACATGAGAGGCACGTCTAGCTTATAGGCCTGAGGCTGCTTGTTGGCATCCTGCTTTCTCCCATTTGTAGGTGAACGGGGTTGGCTGTCTTCCACTGCGGGGGCTGTTTCCTTGATCTCATTGACAGCTCAAAGAGAGTTGAAAGGGGCATTGCCAGCTCCGCTGATAAATCCTTAAGTATCAGTCAAGCAATCCCGTTGGGTTTAGGAGACTTGTCTGGCTTAATTTGACTGGGGACGCATCTTACTTCTTCGACGGAAAAGGTTACGAACTGACTGATTTCTTCCTTAGTTCGGGTGTAAATGTTTGCATTGCAAATCTGTATGAAATTTTGGATCCGCTTATTTCTCGTTTTGTCCACCGTAAGAAAATTATTAATAGGCAGAATGGTATTACCGACAAAGACAAGGGAGACTGGAATGGCAATTTCTGGCTTATTAGCCGTCGTCAGCCAGCCATACCCAAGCCCGAAGTGTGGAACACCCGAGCCTCGAACTCGCGACCTGTTGGTTTAGAAGTCAACGC